CCAATAGTTATCCTAGCTCTTTCAACATCCGCTCCATCCTCAATTTGGATAGGAAATGCAGTGCGCTTAGCGTCGAAAAGATCCTTCTACGTGAGTGCATTATAAAACTAGGCGACCTCTTACTCCCAACCCAATCTATCTTGCTCCATGGGTCTAATCAATGAAATGATTCACTTATAGGACTTTTGGAAAAAGGCGCAAACAACTAACTAGTTTATATCCTTAAGTGCAAAACAGCTCCAAGTGGTTAGCGAACTATTGAAGTTGATAAGTTCCAGTCCATATTGAGGAGACAACCCAGTGAGACAGAAGAAGCTGCTCTGCTCAGGTGCTTCACCAGACGATGCTTTTTCTAGGAATCCTGCGCCACACTTCATCTTGGAATCGGAGTCGATTAATTGCTACCCAAATTAGTGTCCTTTATAGTGTCGTGGAAGTAAACCTATTTGTAGTTTCATAATCAAGTTTGGCTGCTCTTCACCCTTTAATGGGGCTCTGCCTCCTAACCGAAGTGTCGTTCACTCAACTAAACGACACCCGCTATTCTCAATAGTAAGTCGTTGACATATCATAAGAGGAGCCGTTCCAAAAGGAGGTTAGATAGGTATTTGAATATACATATCAAGGGGCATGAGTGACATTTCACTTGAAATTTGAAAAATCCCACTCAGTAAACCCGTTTTGATCTCTGACACCCCGTTTTTTACTTGATTAATTATTTTATTTCTTATTCCTTGTTTCCGTTTTATGTTATCTCTCTCCTCATTTGTTTTATGTTGTTTCTCTCTCCTCTCTCCATTGTTTTGCGCTCTTCACTTCTTCTGTTCTCACTTCTTCTCTAATCACTTAGTTTATTTTCCTCATCGTTTCTTCCCACAACTAATGTTTTAATTTAAAATCCCACTGATCACCTCTAGTTCTCAGTCATTCAGTACCGTCTTTTGAATTTATTTTGTTCGTCGTTGGTTCGGTTGTTCCCAAAAGTTGGGGAATTGGCGAATTCCGGTTTCACGACTTGAATTTAGGTGAAGCATAATTGTGATTTCAAGGCATATACATCTAAAACAACCTATAATATGCATGTTATGACAAAGAATTGGTTCATTTGGTAAGAAATGTAGAAAATAGGCAAGTGATAGGTCATTTAAGGGTCTGTTGGTTGATTTGTAGTCATTTAGGGTCCCAAAACTTAGATCAGTGCTTATTTTTGTGATTTCAAGGCATATACATCTAAAATAACCTATAATATGCATGTTATGACAAAGAATTGGTTCATTTGGTAAGAAATGTAGAAAATAGGCAAAGGATAGGTCATTTAGGGGTCTATTGGTTGGATTTTGGTCGTATTCGCTCCCAAACCTTTGAGACTTGGTTTTTTTTGTGGTTTCAAGGCATACACAATCCTAAATATCTATAATAGACATGTTATGACAAATAAATGGATCATTTAGTTAGAAATAGGCAAGTGATAGGTCATATAGGCCTCTATTGGTTGGAATTCGATCGTGGAATTCGATCCAATTCGCTCCGAAACCTTTGAGACTTGGTTTTTTTTTGTGATTTCAAGGCATACACAATCCCAAATACCTATAATAGACATTTTATGACAAATAAATGGATCATTTAGTTAGAAATGTAGGAAATAGGCAAGTGATAGGTCATATAGGCCTCTATTGGTTGGAATTCGGTCCAATTCGCTCCCAAACCTTTGAGACTTGGTTTTTTTTTGTGATTTCAAGGCATACACAATCCCAAATACCTATAATAGACATGTTATGACAAATAAATGGATCATTTAGTTAGAAATGTAGGAAATAGGCAAGTGATAGGTCATATAGGCCTCTATTGGTTGGAATTCGGTCCAATTCGCTCCCAAACCTTAGAGACTTGGTTTTTTTTTGTGATTTCAAGGAATACACAATCCTAAATACCTATCATAGACATTTTATGACAAATAAATGGATCATTTTGTTAGAAATGTAGATAATAGGCAAAGGATAGGACATTTAGGGGTCTATTGGTTGGATTTTGGTCGTATTCGCTCCCAAACCTATGAGACTTGGTTTTTTTTGTGATTTCAAGGCATTCACAATCCCAAATACCTATAATAGACATTTTATGACAAATAAATGGATCATTTAGTTAGAAATGTAGGAAATAGGCAAGTGAGAGGTCATATAGGCCTCTATTGGTTGGAATTCGGTCCAATTCGCTCCCAAACCTTTGAGACTTGGTTTTTTTTTGTGATTTCAAGGCATACACAATCCCAAATACCTATAATAGGCATGTTATGATAAATAAATGGATCATTTAGTTAGAAATGTAGGAAATAGGCAAGTGATAGGTCATATAGGCCTCTATTGGTTGGAATTCGGTCCAATTCGCTCCCAAACCTTTGAGACTTGGTTTTTTATGTGATTTCAAGGCATACACAATCCCAAACACCTATAATTGACATGTTATGACAAATAAATGGATCATTTAGTTAGAAATAGGCAAGTGATAGGTCATATAGGCCTCTATTTGTTGGAATGCTGTCCAATTCGCTCCCAAACCTTTGAGACTTGGTTTTTTTTGTGATTTCAAGGCATACACAATCCCAAATACCTATAATAGACATTTTATGACAAATAAATGGATCATTTAGTTAGAAATGTAGGAAATAGGCAAGTGATAGGTCATATAGGCCTCTATTGGTTGGAATTCGGTCCAATTCGCTCCCAAACTTTAGAGACTTGGTTTTTTTTTTTGTGATTTCAAGGCATACACAATCCCAAATACCTATAATAGACATTTTATGACAAATAAATGGATCATTTTGTTAGAAATGTAGATAATAGGCAAAGGATAGGACATTTAGGGTCTATTGGTTGGATTTTGATCGTATTCGCTCCCAAACCTATGAGACTTGGTTTTTTTTTGTGATTTCAAGGCATACACAATCCCAAATACCTATAATAGACATTTTATGACAAATAAATGGATCATTTAGTTAGAAATGTAGATAATAAGCAAAGGATAGGACATTTAGGCGTCTATTGGTTGGATTTTGGTCGTATTCGCTCCCAAACCTTTGAGACTTGATTTTTTTGTGATTTCAAGGGATACACAATCCAAAATATCTATAATAGACATGTTTTGACAAATAAATGGATCATTTAGTTAGAAATGTTGGAAATAGGCAAGTGATAGGTCATATAGGCCTCTATTGGTTGGAATTCGGTCCAATTCGCTCCCAAACCTTTGAGACTTGGTTTTTTTTTGTGATTTCAAGGCATACACAATCCCAAATACCTATAATAGACATGTTATGACAAATAAATGGATCATTTAGTTAGAAATAGGCAAGTGATAGGTCATATAGGCCTCTATTGGTTGGAATTCGGTCCAATTCGCTCCCAAACCTTAGAGACATGGTTTTTTTTTGTGATTTCAAGGCATACACAATCCCAAATACCTATAATAGACATGTTATGACAAATAAATGGATCATTTAGTTAGAAATGTAGATAATAGGCAAAGGATAGGACATTTAGGGGTCTATTGGTTGGATTTTGGTCGTATTCGCTCCCAAACCTTTTAGACTTGGTTTTTTATTTCAAGGCATACACAATCCCAAATACCTATAATAGACATGTTATGACAAATAAATGGATCATTTAGTTAGAAATGTAGATAATAGGCAAAGGATAGGTCATTTAGGGGTCTATTGGTTGGATTTTGGTCGTATTCGCTCCCTAACCTTTGAGACTTGGTTTTTTTTGTGATTTCAAGGCATATACATCTAAAACTATCTATAATAAACATGGTATGACAAAGAAATGATTCATTTATTAACAAATGTAGAAAATAGGCAATGGATTTTGATTTTAGCTTACATATTTAATTTGTGCAACTTTTCATATGTTTATCTTGTAGGAGGCCTACCAGAAGAAAGTTGAAGAAGCAAGCACCCAAGAGATTTAGAAGAGTCCAAATGAGTTGTACTGGGAAACTGTAGGTGGTCGAAACAAGAAGGGTCGTGTGAAGGGACTTGGCCAAGGTGCGGAGCTGTATTACGGCAGCCGGAAGAGTTCCAAGTCTTCCCAGCAGTATACGCCTTCCTTTCTTTCCCAGATGTAAGATCAGATGGACTAGAGGGTGGAGCAGAGGTTGGAGGAGAGGGTGCAAGCGATGCGGAGTGAAATGGAAGTCGAGATGGAGACTCGATTGGCCGAAATAGAAAGGAGAAACCAAGAGGGGTATGAAGAGATGATGCGTCGATTCTCCAGCAACGACTCATGTTCCAACATTCCACATCAGCGTCGAGACCCCACGAACGACGACCCAGGTAGCGGCGGTGCAGGGATAGGTACTCCAACTGTAGCTTAGAATTTGTGTACATAATTGGACATGTATTTAGTTTTAAATTATGTTGTATAGTTGCACAAATTAAAATATATACATTAATATTATTGTTAATATATATATATGAAAATATTTTCATATTTAAATCGTCAATTCAAAATTAACACAAATTAGGTGCAGGATGTAGGTGACCAAAATCGAATTAAAAAATTAAATTATTGCTTATTAAACAGGAACCTTCCGATGGAATTTTTTGTCGGAAATGAATTGCTTCCGACGGAATTATTCGTCCGAACATAAGAGGTTCCGACTGACGAATATTTCCGTCGGAAGAAATTCATTTCCGACAAAAGATTCCGTCGAAAGACCCACTTTTCCAATGAACACAATCCGTCGGAAGGTAAGATATTCCGAGGGATAATTCCGTCGGAAGCCTTCCCATTTACGACGGAAATAAGTTCGTCGGAATGTTGCGACGGACTTTCAATTTAAGTCAAAATCAGCTCCGACAGACGTAATTCCGTCGAAAAGTTCGTTGGAAAGGTGTCTTCCAACGGAATTTTCATCGGAAAACGTCCATTTTCCGACAAGGTTCGTTACGACAGACAACTTCCGACGGAATTCCGTCGGAAAGGCCGATTCCGACGGATTTTTCAATGTTTCCGACGGGATATTTCTGTCGGAATTGAGCTGTTTTCTTGTAGTGATTTTTCAACACATGAAGGGAATCTCACATCAGTTGTTCTATGCGCAGGCCTCTTCGGCATAGGGGGATCCTTCGGTACCTCAGAACAGCTCTCTTGCCTCTGTGTGGAAGGAGTAACATGAGTTCCCTTGTCACCTTTTACTTCTCCTTCTCCATTAGTAATCTTCATCATTGAAAGCTTTTCATCCACCTGAATCTCTAGTAAGTGGAGCGTTTGCATGACAAGATCAGTGGTGTCTTTGGAAACAGATGACTTCGAACAAAGGGAACCAAACTTAACCATCATTTTATCAAACCTGCAAACCTCTTCAGTCTTGCTTGGATCGTGATATGCAACCTTCACCCTAGTGTGCTCCCTTATCACATATTTCCTCTAACGCCTAAAATGAATTTGTCAGGAATCTCGGTCTGATCATTCAACTCGTACACCTTGATGATGTGACGACATATAATACCGTGGCACTCAAAGTGCTTGCATTCGCACCAAGCTTCCTTAGAAACACAATCAAACGTAACCTTGTATCCTATGATTCCTCTTAGACGGTTTCTCCTTCGAACAGTTCTTAGGCTTGTACCAAACTCTATCCTCAACCACATGCTCAGTGATGTTCTCAAAAACCTGCATTTTCCCACATAAAGCAGACGGCTGCATTCTCGTTGGACTTCTTTGAATTTCGCATCAGTATAGATCTTTTGGAATATAAGCTCAACGAAGAAGTCACTATACGTCTTCCTTACATATCTCGCATTGTTATCATCAGCCTTTTTTTAGTAGTTGCTCTAACCTCAAGCGCCTCTTCATAACGCTCCACAAATTCATAAAGCAACGTGTGTTTGCTTAAATATCCGTCAAAGAAAATGTGAATACTCTCTACTCTTTGGGTGGTTTTCATGCCGGCCTAAAACAAATGCTTCACAAATGCTGGAACCCACATTGCTCGTTCTTCAAACAATCCTGACAAGTGATTCCAACAACAAAACCAATACAGTACTTCAAATTATTGAAATCACCATGTTTAATGAAAAATCAAATCTGAAATGGAACCACCCTTTACCAAAACCCCCAGTTGAGCTACACAAAGATGTATGGGTTATAAATAACAGACCCACCCAGTGAACTACCCATTACCAGTGAACTACCCATTACTAGAACACCCATTTCAGTAATATGAAGACAAAGATGTATAGGCCATTAATAACAGCACCAGTCAAGTACAGGAAGTTAGCATTCCCCCAATTAAACCACAATAATAAATCAACCCGTATAACATTAATCCATTTGCAAAACAGCATATCATGATACAAATGCAACAACAGCATACAGGACATAAAATAAAATGACAAGAACAAATTGACAATTTGGAAAAAAAAAATTTTAAAAAAATAACCTGCCAGCCATTCTTCATCTTCAGCTTCAAATTCCTTAATAACCTCGGGCCAACGTTGTTCAAATTCCTAATGATCTAGGCTATCATAAATTGCCTACTTCAACACTTCCTTCAGATCTGAGTAATTAACATGCTAGCCTAGCTTCTTTCCAAACTTGTTAATGATGTGCTAAATACACCATCTGTGGATTGTTCCTTTCATAACAACCTTTAGAGCTTTCCTGATTGCGGCGTCCTGGTCCGTTAGGATCCCAGCAGGTGCCTTATCGTCCATGCATCGAAGCCAATTTGAGAACACCCATTCGAAAGTCTCAACATTCTCATGAGTTACTAGCGCACATCCAAAAAGAATAGTTTGGCCATGATGGTTGACACCTACAAAGTTGCAAAATGGAAGTTTGTATTCGTTGGTCAAGTAGGTTGGAATCATATACAACAACATCCCCAAACATTTCATAAGCCGCCCTACTCCTTGCATCCACCCACAAAACATCTTTCAGCCTACCTTCTTCATCAACTCGATAGGTATGAAAGAATTTGGAATTGTCATCCACCATTCTCTTAAAGTACGCGAACATGCCTTTTGCATCTCCATCATCAAACACCTTTTTCCTTTGCTTTGACACTTTGTGATGTAAATCTTTTTGCTCAAATTGCGTCTCTTCCAACCCATTCCTCTGCCGCGCCATAGACCTATAGATGCTCGAAATAGGCACCTCTGCCCTTCGGTCATTAAAAAGTTGCCTCACAATATGACGATTTTCCACCAAAAATTTCTTCTTGAATTTACTTATATTCTTCGATTTGCTCGGAGTTGGAGTATGGCCATCATGTTCCGTTTTTTCCTTACGAATCACCCATTACCCTACATCTTAGGACACATATCTTCATCTTCACTAATTTGAGCATCTGAGACTAAACCCACTTCACTCTTTTTCCTCTTCTGAACAGGCCTACCATAACATTAACATGTCCACCTACAATTCCTCTTCGCGCCTTTTCCATTATTGGCGTTGCTTGCACGCACAACACCAAACCCCCTCTGCTGCCCATAATTCCTAAAATAATAATCAACTTCTAACATCGACTTAAAGACCATTCCAATAGAAGGAGGTGGCAGAGCAACCTCCATCTCCACTTCAGCAGGCTCCTCAATCCGAACACTAATTGAGACATTACCCTTCCCTTTGGTTGGAGTCTTAAAGGACTCTTCCCCAGCAACAACCTCATGTGAACATAACATTCACCTCAAGTCAGCTTGTTATAACATAATTTTACACAATGATCAATTACGTTTAATAAAAAATAAACACAACATGGAGTAAAACATAATTTAACACACTTGTAACAACAAACCGAGCATTATATCCACACACATTACCAATATTTTTCCCACAAAATTTGTTGCTGCTACCAAATAATGCTTCAATTACCAGCGCAACGTTTAAAATTAGTTGCTTCTACCAATTGAAGCTTCTTTTAACAACGTTTTAAACAGAGATTAACTTCAACTACCATAGTCATAACACTAAAGGTGCGTCATTCTCAATTTAAATCTATCTACTACCATGGTATTCCAGGTTTTCAAATCGATACCTCTTTCAAACCCTAAAATTAATTCCAACACTCTTTGACACATCATTTTAATCACTCACCTGATTCAAGAGTGCCTCCAATGCTACTGCGCAGTCTTCTTCGCCACCGCAATCATCATCGGGAATGGGCTCGCAAATGCTCAACCCATACTCGCCGCCAGCGTACCTTTCGATATCCTCAGTGGTTTTAAGGTACTCCATTGCTTGCTTAGAGCAGTAAAATTTTTAGGGTTCCTGCATTAATGCAAGGATTTTTTAGTTAGCAAGGATTTTCGAGTTCAACAAGGCGAAAAAAGTGGTCACCTTTTCAACAAATTTTCTTAAGGAAGAAGGTTCCCCCTTGGAGAAACCAAGTTCAGTACTGTGGGTTTGTTGGAAGAAAGAAGTACAAGTGGGGTTCAGCCTCAATTGTGTTTTTATTGTGACATGGGTCCCACCCCGTTTACAAATTTTTACTACACAATTCAAATTTTCCCTCCAATTTCAAAACCCGTTACAAAAAAAGTTGCATAATATTTACAGAAATGCTATGTTATGCATTTGCCCACACATATCAAACCTCCATTTCTACTTCCTCATCACTAGAGGCTTCCTTTGTCTTTAGGTTACCGAGCCTTTTTCACTTTTGTGCTTGGGAGGGAGGGCTACTTGGTGCCTATGGACCCTCTGCCATCCACATTGTAGCAAAGTTGTTTCATGAGCGGGGGATAAATGCAAGGAGGATTTATAGCCTCAAATCCTCTATAAAAGCAATTCTTCTTTCCATTTCATCACTACAAAAACCTACCTTTCAAACTTTTACAGCAGGTAAGGGTGAGTTAAACTTTCCTAACACTGGGACTTCTTGAGCTCACTCGGGATTATTCCGACACCCAAAAAGCAAGCTACGTTAGGGTTGGTTCATTTGTCTATGATAGACACAAGTTTTAAGCAATGTCTTGAACTATTGGACCGCATACTATACATCAACCTGAAGTTCCTCGGTCTGTATCAAGGTAACAAAGGCTTCCCATACTCACTTTCCAATTAGTTTCACTTCTGAAGCAAAGCTGAGCACTCAGAGCTTTTATCTTATAGAAAACATACTACAAAATCAAGCGATATTTATGACCTAAGAAATTTATGCGATTGGTGATTCTGAAACAACTTACACGATGTTATCTATAACTACAAAGTATAAACTGGCTTGAGAACTAAGACGACCAAATGATCGAATTACGAGCATGTTTTCTTCATTTTAGGTTGTTGTTCCAATAGAGGTAATTTTGAAAGCTATGAACAATTCAAAAATTAGAACACGGGTTTTTAAAACATAGGAAAAAAATTTAGAATATAGACTAGAAAAGTAAGTTAGAACATAGATAGAAAAAATTTAGAATATTGAAAAAAAAAATAAGAGCATAGAAAATAAGTTTAAAACATATACTAAAAATTTAGAACACAAGAAAGTAATTTAGAACATAGGGTGAAAAAATTTAGAACATAAGGTGAAAAAGTTTAGAACATAAGATAAAGTTTAGAACATAGATAGAAAAAATTTAGAACGTACTGAAAAAAAAAATTAGAAAATAGTCGAAAAAATTTATAACATAGGATAAAATTTAGAGCATACGGAAAAAATTTAGAACATAGGAAATAAATTTAGAACATAGACAAAAAATTTGAAGATAGGATATATATTTAGAACATGGACAAAAAAATTTAGAACATAAACAATAAAATGTAGAACATAGGAAAATAGTTTAGAACATACATATATTTAGAGCTTAGATTGAAAAATTTAGAGCTTAAGCAATAAATTTTAGAACATATGCAAATAATATTTAGAACATATGATAAAACCTATTAGCTCAATTGGAAGAGCACTATGCAAATGCATAGAGGATGTAGGTTCAATTCCTACATAGGTTATCTTTATAAATAACTAAAAAAAATTCAAATGTTTTTTTTTTAAAAAAAAACAATCCAATAAAAAATATTAAATTAGCACTAAGTTATATGAGCATAAAATTGGCTTGAAATGATTAATAACTATAGAAATTTTTTTACAAGTGAACTCTCACCATACAATGCTCGTCTCCACATTACACAAATAAACCTACGTGGGATTTGAACCCACATCTTTTGTGCATTTTCACAATGCTCTACCTATTGAGCTAGTAGGTTAATGTATATACAACTTCAGCTAGTGTCAGTGAGAATTGAATCAACAAATTTATCCAATAAATAGGACAGTAGTTCAAAATCTCCTCTGGTCGTTATTTGTTAATATACATTCTTGATGGCCAAGGTAAATCAACACCTCTACTTGTCCTATTCAAATGGCTATGTTTTTACAGTTATCCAAAATTTCAGACTACTTTCAGATACAGCAAATCTAAATTTTAAAAATGCAGAATAAAAGTAATAGAATTTAAGATAGATTGAACCAGCAAACAGAGATTATTCACTCTCTGCGTGGATTTCAGAGAAGCACAAAATGCATTCTTCAGCATGAAATAATCAAATAGAATCCTGAGTCCTGACAGATAAGAACCCTACATATCATCCCGGGTTTCCAATCAAATGACTTTAGGCCATATGATGGCATAACTAAGAGGAATAAGGAAAGAATTTTGCCAAATCCTGCAAAGTTTTGACAGCCCATACAAAATTGCAAGTGATTTAAGTTACATAACTCTATATTCATATACCACTTGGCTGCACAAATCAAAAGGGAAGAGCTACACCCCCACCAAAATAAGCAGAAGTAATCAAACTAAACACTGCGGAATTTGACAAAAGTTTGCAGAGCGGATTCTCCAGCTACAATACCATAGTGGCAGAACCAAAGAGTAGTGATAGAATCGTCAAGTCATCTCACGTTTGCTTGGATATCAGATATTAGAAATTGTTACCCAAACAACCATCTTCCATCCACATTTGCTTTATATCCAAAAAACGAATGACCATTCATGGTTGATTGGGGAAAGAAGCCACTTAATAGGGTATGCTTAATTGTATAAGAGATTAAGAGTAACAGGAATAGTATAGGTTTCGTAAACTGTCTACATTCTCCAATTCCTTAACTATCCATGAGATCTACCAGTAATACTTTTGGCAGGCTATATAAAATATATCTAGAGGATACGAATATTATGATACGAAACTCCACTTGTTACATTCCCTCTCAAAATATTACTTGTATAATACATGCATAACAAATAAAAAAATTAGAATATAACAATACTTTTTGTTCATAATTCTTCTGAAATGAGTGAAACATGTGTAACAAAGTCAACACCAACAGAGTAATCACCATCTAACTCCCTTAATTAGACAATTTCATAGTTTTGAACATAGAAATCATACAACATTTGCATAGTTTAGAACATAAAAATCATCACACATGATATATCCCTATAAAATCACTACATGATATTTAGAACATAAAAAATTAAATTAGAAAAAAAAAATCACACATGATAACAAACCTTGAATGAGTAAGACGATGAAGGACTCTAATAAAGGTCAAACATCCAAATCCATCCATCAAACATGCAAAAACCTAGAAAAATTAAAAATAATTTGAAAACATTAAGCCAAAAAAAATCGAAAAAATCATACAACAAAAAAAACTAACACAATTAAACAAAAAACTGATAAATTTAAGATCAAATAATTGAACATAAACTGATAAAGCACAAAAAATCTAACACAATTGAACAAATTAATCCGAAAAATCAATTGCAAATATTAAGCCCAAAAAATTAAACCATAATTAAAAAATTAAACCGAAAAAATGAAAATAAATTGAACATTCTACATTGAAACAATCGATTAACATGAAGAATTTGAAAATGAATTTGATAAACTTACCGATTTTGATGATGAATTTCCACCCAGAATACACTAGGATGAGAGAGAAAGAGATACCTGCTTGAAGTTTTAGGGTGAGAAGATGCGTGAAAGAGGAAGAAGAGAGGAGGGTGTGTGTCTGATGCATGATGCACTAAATTACAAAAATGCCATTACTATGGCTGTATTTAGGACGGTTGGATCATATCTAATCAATGGCCCTGATTGGTTCTTATATAAGATTGAGTTCTTATATA